TATCCTCAAACTGTTTCTCTTCCTCCTTTCTTTCTTTGCTTTGATTTATTACAATACACATGTCAACACCAGCAGCAGCAACAGACCTTCTCCCATTGTATGTCGGTGTGTCTTTGAGAGAGAGAGAGAGAGAGTTGTGTTGTTTATGGCACCGTCCGAGATAAATCATTTCTCAAACGAAAATGATGTGTGATCTTTCAGAACTCTCTCTCTCTCTCCCCCTCTCCCTTTTCTTCCTCTCTCTCTCTCTCTCCCTCGAGTTGATTATTTAAGACGATTTACTGTAATAGATCAAAACCTAATGTGAAAACTGTATAGCTGGGGGTCTTAAATTAAAGCATCTGTGATTACCAATTAAGGGGAGATTTGTATAAATTTTGAGCAATCCGGCAACCGTGGAAAACAGAGCGACAAAGTGGCGGCTAGGAAGAATTTTGGAGGGGGGAGATGGAAAGAGAAAGCCGGCGGTTCTTCTCCTCCCAGACATTGGAAAGACAAGATCAGAAGGAAAGATGGAGATCTCTCAGGGAGGTTTTAGACTTGAATGGGAAGATTTTTCTCTTCAGCAGCACAATCCACCGGGAATGTCTTCTGCCGGGTCTGTTGCTGCTGAGCTTTCGCTTCTTTCTTTCAAGGAGTGCAACTTCCCGGTGGATTGCGCGCAAAATGATGGAAATAATCCGGAGCAGGGACTTTCAGGTCAAAACTACCACCTCTTTGGCGAAAGGGAATGGCCAACGGGCAAAGATGCGCAATTCAGAGATAGCAGAGGAATTGTTTCTAAGACAGAAAGGCGGAGAAGGGAGTGCCTGAGAGGAGCCCAAGGAGCCTGTGTTTTTTCGTTAAGTTCGACACTTGAAGCTACAGCAGAACAATAGATGTCACTTTCTAAAACCTGTAGTAGATTTCTAAGGAGGGCAGGACAATAGCACACGCAGCGGGGAGTTTTATTTGGGGGCCTCCCCTCCACTTTCTCCAGTCCACAAATAAATACTCCATATATACTCTATGTATGCATGCATGTCTGTGTGTGTATGTATGTATATATATAACCTATGATCTTTGCTATCTTAATTTCACCCTAGTCCAAAACTTGCAGGAATACACACACACACACACACACACAAATACAATATATATTATTTTACATGGCACATATATTTATAGTGTATGGTGTGTTTGTATTCATATGTATATATGTATATGTATGTGTATGTTTATGTGTGTGTGTGTGTGTGTGTGTGTGTGTGTGTGTATATGTGTGTGTGTGTGTGTGTGTATATATATATATATATATATATATATATATATATATATATATATATATATTCCTGCAAGTTTTGGACTCGGTGAAATTAAGATGCCATAGAGCATAGTATGCATATACATCCAGACATCCAATTACTACTTTCAGAAGATTTTCTTAAACAACAGTGTGTCTCTCTCAATCAATATATTCTCCTTAAGGGGGAACTCATCTCTAAAGTGGAAATCCACAACCTGTGCTCTTTGCTCTCTTTAATATCACCCTCGTTCAAAACTTGCAGGGATATATATGTATGTGTGCATATGTGTATATATGTGTGTGTGTGTGTATCACACATATAATATATTTGTGTGTGTGTGTATACCACATATATTATTTGTAAATGTCATATATATATACACACACACATATACATATATATATATATATATATATATATATATATATATACATATACATATATATATATCTCACGCACACAATATATTTGTGTGTATACTACATATATTATTTGTAAATGTCATATATATATGAAGACTTTCTTAAACAACAGTGTGTCTCTCTCAGTCAATATATTCTCCTTAAGGGGGAACTCATCTCTAAAGTGGAAATCCACAACCTGTGCTCTTTGCTCTCTTTAATATCACCCTCGTTCAAAACTTGCAGGGATATATATGTATGTGTGCATATGTGTGTATATATGTGTGTGTGTGTGTATCACACATATAATATATTTGTGTGTGTGTGTATACCACATATATTATTTGTAAATGTCATATATATACACACACACATATACATACTAGCTGGAGGTCTGGATGTATATGCAGGTATGCCAACAGGGATCTTGTTTGAAACAGTGGGTTTCAGAAACCCTTTGATCCAAGGTTCAAAAAGCAACCTTGGTTGCTTGGGATTCATTCTGAGGCTGATCGAGACTACAGTCCTATGCAATCTCTAGGAGTCACCGAACCTACTAGGACTTACTTTTGAGTTGACCTGCCTACGGTTGCAGGTTTGTGGGCCTCGTTTGCTGGTGCTGCATCGAGTCCCTTGAAGATTGTGCAATATTGGTTGTACTTTGAGATAAGTACAAAACTCACTTGTGAAATGGGAAGGGATAGAAGAATCAACCCCTCCCCGCCCTTTTCGTGTTCTAAGGAATCAAGGACTGAAAGAGTTGCCCCCCCCCCCCCCCAGAAAAGGGACCTTTCTTGGTCAACTGCAGGGAAGGAGTCGCTGGAGATGCCTATGAAGGAAAGGAGCACAGAGGGCACCGTTGTATTCAATTTAACCGTCGAAACTGACCTGCCCTTCCTTGTTTCAGTTGCCCCTTGACTCCAGAAAGTAGCCAGCCTGAAAAGAAATAAAAACCGGGCGCCAAGTAGAAATAATATTGCAACAATCGACATTATAAAACCCACTGAGTCCCTCTTCCTGCCTTTTGCCCGGCTTGCAAGCGTTTTTCGCACCGCCCTGAGTGGTGCTATTTTACTCTGCCTGCCAGTGTAAACCTTTATGTAGCGCAATTAGACCAACACAGAGACTTTCATTAAATATGAATGGCGACAAGGAGGGAGGTTCAAAAAGCCCCGGGAAAGCCAAGCGTGGGCCCGCTTCAGAGTGCCCTCCCCCGTCCCAAACAACAACAACAACAACAACCCAGTCCTGTCTGTCTTCTTCTTTTCCTTCTTTTGAGGGTGATTTTAACAAAGCCTTTGTTTCTCCTTTGGCCCGTCCACAGAAATGCTCTTGGAGAAAGGGAGAGGAGGAAAGGAAGAAAGAAATAAGATATGGGAGATGAAGAGAACATTCTTTCTAAGGGGAAAGCAGGGAAGGGTGAAAGAAAAGATACCGAGATTGCCATATTATACCCAGTGATCTGGAAATAAACTCATTGAAATCGATGGGGTTTACTGTTGAGAAGGCAGGTACAGGATGGTGGTACCAATCTATGTATTGGGTATGTTTAAAATGTGAATGAAGCAGGATGACTTGGTTTAGGTAATCCCACCGAACTCGACCTTTTCCTGTTGGCAGTGAATTCTTAAAGCGTCCCAAGCCTTTGGGTGAACTGATTCATTGCCCCTCGGCTTTACTTTCCTCTCAGCATAAGACTAAAAAGAAATCAGGGTATGAAGATCAGACGCCCCCCCCCCCCCGTAAATGACTGGGATGTAGCTACAAAGACTATGAGGATCAGAGAGACCCTGCAGGGAGGAGGCAATAGGGTTAGACTTCGCTGTGTCCTTCTTCTTGTGGCAAATCCATTAAGAATATCAATACTGGACAGAAGAGGGAAGAAAAGAGGAGAGTTGTATAGGACAGGGACTCTGGAAGGACAAGAGTACACTCCTGAATTCATTGATTGATAGGGAACTTTTCTAATAGCTTGAGTCCAGACCAATCCAAATAAATCAGTAACACAAGTCCCACTGGTTTGAATGACTCTAGCATGAGCAGGGACCCAAATCAGTGGTTTCTCCTTCCAAATGGAGGGACAACCTTCTCTGAAGTTATGGACGATGTCCTATTCAGTGTTTTGCCCCCTGCTTCTTTGGGTTCATGGTTCCCAAGTTATTTCCCATAGTTAATCAGTGGCCAGATTTGTACCCAAGAGCTTCAATTTCCTTATTCGGCCAAAGGTTCATAAAGAAATACTGGATACTTCTATGTGCAATGTCCAAACCTACCAATATACTTATGTTGGTGACACTAGACAGCAGTTTGAAGCATATTATTTGCTACTTCTATTGAGTCTCATGAAAACTCCCTGGTTTTTTTTTTTACACCAAGTCTATCATTCTGTTACAAATCCATATAACATTATTTAGTCATATTGTGTCAATTTATTGTGGAAGGCTTTCATGACCGGAATCATTGGGTTGTTGTGACATTTCCGGGCTGTATGGCCATGTTCTAGAAGCATTCTCTCTTGAAGTTTCGCCTGCATCCATCCTGGTTATTCCACAGATGTATAAATCCCATTTTCCTAGTTTCCAAATAGACCTCACAATCTCTGAGGATGCCTGCCATAGATGTAGGAGAAATGTCAGGAGAGAATGCTTCTGGAACACGGCCATACAGTCCGGAAAACTCACAACAACCCGATGTCCTATTGTTTCAATGGGGCTGACTTCAGCATTGAGCATGGAAGACCCAACTCCATTGTTTGTCTTGGTCCTTGGGCAAGAAGCAAAGACAAAAAGGACACAATTTATGAGATCATAGTGGTTGTAGTAATTGTGAAGTTGGGTCTGGAGGTGATCCTCCCCCCCCCCCCCACTTCCCTCTACTTTTCACTTGTTCCCTTTCCATCCACAGCTATCTTTCTTCCTTTACTATTCTTCCTTTCGTCTTAGCCTTCTTTCTTTATGATACCATTTTCCTTGGAGATGGACCTTTCACTCCCCGCCAGGCAGAGAAGACCCCACCAGGGCACCCCCACCCTCCCTACATCTAGGTCTTTGTATTTGCTAGCCACCCAGCTTCATTAAATCATAACACATTTCCCCATTTGTGTTCATTATCGGTTTATTCATCGATCCGGGGTAATATAATAACTCTGCTCCTAGGCTACTTTTCCACCAGCTCAAACAGAATGTGTAAAAATCGTTAGCAGGTTTTCGTTGGTGTTGTGTGCATATTTCTTTATTAACTCGGGTTGGTCTTCAATGCCGCAGAAAATTAGCAACACAGTTACAGATGGTAAACATAGAAAGGAGATCAGTAATATTTTAAGCACTTTACTTTATTGATCATTTTCTGACACATTCACTTTCACGTCTCTTGCTACTTTCAAAGTGGGCTCTCCTTTCTTCTTCTGATCCTAGGATAAGAATTCAAATATCTTAATGAGATAGGCAAAAGAACCATTCTCCATCCTATTTTTTGATTCTAACTAGTCCTTTTCCCCCAAAGAAAAAACTTGGGAGAGCGGTACAAACCCATTGAAATTAGACATTCACTTGTAGGGGTTCCAAGCTTGACTCAAAATAGCAACCAAACAGAATCCTATCTATGGATAGAGGAGAAGAGGCACGTGGGTTTTCAAAAGACACAATGAAAATATGCTTTGTGTAGTTTCAGTCTCAGGAGTTGATGTTCTTTCCATCTGGACCCAAGTATGTGGACTGTCTGTTGGATTGGGTCCATCAATTAAAGACTTGGCTTTCCAATTCTAAATCTGTTTCATTTGAATGTAAGCATCCTTGATGTCAATGCCATTTTTGTCTAAGTAAGGCTATGAACCTATACATACTTACCTTGCAAGACTGTGAACCTATACATATTTACCTCTCCCATTAAATTCAGTGAGGTTTGTTTATGAATAGGCATGTATGGAACTGCCCTGTAAGGCTATAGCTTTATCTATCTATCTATCTATCTATCTATCTATCTATCTATCTATCTATCTATCTATCTATCTATCTATCTATCTATCTATCTATCTATCTATCCATCTATCTATCCATCCATCCATCCTTACCTGGGAATAAGCCACACTGAATTGTGTGGACTGTACTTCAGGGTTGCATTACAAATGTGCTTGGAGTCTCAGCTTGTTTACATTATCTGCATATGAAAACAAATGGAAAGTAAATATATTCTTCTTTAATTTCTCCATGCATTCATTTTATTCCTTATTTTCTGTATGCATTTAACCCCAGAACTTATAGAAAGTTGGAGTATCACACGCTAGCTTTCCCTGAAACCTCCCAACTCTGAAATACTGTCAATATATCTTCTAAACCAAACACCAGCTGCAGTTAGTGTGAAAAGGAATTCTTGTTAGCCACCCTTCCCCGACAGTCTTCTTTTCAGAGCCTTGGAACTGATCCTACAACAGAGAGATTGATGTGTGGTGCTAAATTGTAGAATTGGAACCAAAAAGATCCAGATTCAAATCCCCATTCAGCTCTGAGGCTCACCAGGAGAACTTGGGCAGGTCATTCTCCTTCCTTATACCATTATTCTGAGGATTAAAAAGTAGGATGTTTAGATGTCATCTCCTTAGAGAAGGGTGGGATATAAAAATATCAGCAAATAAATAGCCTTCCAAACAACTCTCAGGGTCAGAATGTACTAATCCACCATTATTCCCATCCCTCCCACACACATTGATTTTCATGGGTGATTTCTCTTTAGTTTAATGAGTTCTGCCAAAAAGAGGTTGTGTGTTCAAGATCAAGTCTAGTATAAGTGATCCATTTTATCTAACTGACCAAAAAACCTAATGGTATATTTCATGGCAGGAATCACTGGGTTGTCCGGGCTGTATGGCTATGTTCCAGAAGCATTCTCTCCTGACGTTTCACCTGCATCTATGGAGAGAATGTCATGAGAGAATGCTTCTGGAACATGGGTATACAGCCCCGAAAACTCACAGCAACCCAACCTAAGTGAAAGAAGGAAAGAATGTGGACCTCACTATGGAAAGGTTCCTCTGATGTTGAGAGAGTGTGACTTGTCCAAACCAAGTGGATTTCCACGGTTACCCAATTCCCATTCAAATATACCAGTAGGGAAGATACTTCTCAGTTAAAATACTGCAGATTTTGGTTCTGATTTTCTACCAGTAATTTATTCTAGCTAAATATTTACAAAGATAGCTAAATACAGATACAAAAAGCAAAATTATATTTGCTTTCTGGGCAGTGATATTCAAACTGAAACTGACTAGAAACACCTTAAGGCCATCTATTCCATCCCTGAGCCTCCTGACAAAACAGCCCCATTCCACATTCCTACAAGAGTAGCCTAAAGCACGTCTTCAGTAGAGACCGAATTCTCCAAAGTCAAAGGCATAAGTAGGAACAAAGAGTGAGGGCTAGACTTCCCACATGACTGCCTGAGGCTCATACAAACTCTGGGGTTCTTTGTGTTCAGGACTGAGGAACTACCAGAAAGGAAAGGAAAGTACTTGAGGGGAAAATGCACAGAAACGCATATTACCTTCCTGTAACTAATTTTGGGGACAATTTATCCAAACCAAATCCACATGGAAACAACCTTGACACGTGACATGGTTCCAAATATATAAATTTATTCATCCTTCTATTTTGATAGTGAGTATAATCCTCTGATTTCATGAGGGCTCCTTTCACAACTAGCACAATCATGGACATATCTACTCAGAAATCAGTCCACACATATTCAGTGTGTAAGAGTACAGGATATCCCAGTTTACAAGCGGGCCAGTGTAGTGGAGATTTTCCTGACTATTCCATTGTGTGCTGGGGAGGTATGTTATGAGTATGTGTTAGGGAGGGGTACGGTTGTGAGTATGATAATATACTCACATATAAGACTATAGAATTCAGTTTCTAGAGTTAGCAAAAAAAACCACCAAAAAACAACAACAAAACAAACAAACAAACAAAAACAGATTTGATCTCTCCAAGCTATGTCCCACTTATAGGAATGAGACCCTATTGATTTCAGGATGAGTTGAATTTTTGACATACATCAGAAGAGTATAGGTTGCCCTATGGCATCTCTAAAATCGTATCCAGCAAGAAGTTTCCCTGGGCAAAATCCCATTGAAATAAAATAAAAGATTGGAAAATAAGTTACATTCCTTTTCAGGGTGCCCTAGGACCCTTCCATACAGCACTATATCCCAGAATATCAGGCAGAAAATCCCACATTATGTTGTCCTTGTCTATGGCCCCTTCCACACATCTGAATAAAATCCTACATTATCTACTTTGAACTGGGATATATGGCAATGTGGAGTCAGATAATCCAGTTCAAAGCAGATATTGTGGGATTTTCTGCCATTATATTCTGGGATATAGGGCTATGTGGAAGGGCCCCTAGTTCCATCCAAGGAAGCATTAACTGTGCTTACTTCGAAGTAGATAAGGGAGTAATTCAGCTCCATTGAATTGTCGAAGGCTTTAATGGCTGGAATCACTGGGTTGTAGGTTTTTTTGGACTTTATGGCCATGTTCTAGAGGCATTCTCTCCTGACGTTTCGCCTGCATCTATAGCAAACATCCTCACTATCTCTGAGGATGCTTGCCATAGATACAGGCGAAACGTCAGGAGAGAATGCCTCTAGAACATGGCCATATAGCCCGAAAAAACCTACAGCAACCCAACTCCATTGAATTTCATTGAATTTACCCGCAGGTAAGTATATTCCGCGTTTTAGGACCTTACTTCATTCTTTAGTCTTGGTGATGGTAGACAAGAAGGAACAAAATGTTTTTGCTGTAAGCATTCTGAAGTGATTATTCAGTTTTAACTATGGATTGCTGTGAGTTTTCCCGGCTGTATGGCCATGTTCCAAATGCATTCTCTCCTGACGTTTCGCCCACATCTATAGCAGAGGTTGTGGGATCTCTTTTAACTATGCTTTTTGTGAAGTTTACATCAAAAGGGCATGTTTAGTATGTTCCCAAATGCATCCCGACAACTATGACTTCAGTTCTGTTGGTGACACTCAACTAGAGTAGATGGTTCGACTCAATGGTTAAATCAACACCATAGGAAGACCATCCATTCGATGACTCCAGTCGGAGTTTACAATAGGATGTGGGCTTATGTTTAGTGGTATCATGAAACAGTGAAGGGGGTGGCAAATTGGACACATAAGGCCACCGTCCCCATCCATTTTATTTCAATGAAGCCTGAGCAGAACCAAACTCTCCTTGTCCACATTAGGGCTGGGGTGTATTGAGAAATAAAGCACAGCGAAATCAATAAAACTTACTGTCGGCTTCGTCCTGCTTAGAGCATTCCTGGGGAAATCAATGGGACTTAATGTAGTCCGGCCTTAACTGAAATCCTACTGATTTTTTGGGTCTGCTGTAACAATGTCTAGACCTAGCCTAAAAAGTAGAAAGTCGTGGATGATTATTTTAATACCAAATGGTTTGTTTGAAAAAACACAGCAATAAGATCTGCCTCCTGAGAATGCTGGAGATGCATTTTTAAGTCTCAGTAAATGCATCTCATAGGACTCTCCAATGTCTCTGTTCTGTATAGGATTTTATAATAAAATAAAATAAAAAAAACAAAGGAAGAAAGAAGGGAGAAGAGTGAGTTGCTGCTTTTAACCCTCATGTTTATTGTAAAGAGGAAGGGAACTATTGGAATCCATAATGCGAACCCTTCAGATGAATCAGTACCCAAATGTAGACCTGATTAGTATTGGGTTGTTGTGAATTTTCCGGGCTGTATGGGCATGTTCCAGAAGCATTCTTTCCTGACATTTCACCAGCATCTATAGCAGGCATCCTCAGAGGTTGTGAGGTCCTCACAACCTCTGAGGATGCCTGCCATAGATGCAGACGAAACGTCAGGAGAGAATGCTTCTGGAACATGCCCATATAGCCTGGAAAACTCACAGCAACTCAGTGATTCCGAAAGCATTCGACAATACGCTGACTACACTGACTCACAACCTCTGAGGATGCCTACCATTGATGCAGGCGAAACGTCAGGAGATAATGCTTCTGGAACATGCCCATACAGCCCGGAAAACTCACAACAACCCAGTGATTCCGGCCACGAAAGCCTTCGACAATACGCTGACTACACTGACTCACAACCTCTGAGGATGCCTGCCATTGATGCAGGCAAAACGTCAGGAGAGAATGCTTCTGGAACATGCCCATTCAGCCAGGAAACCTCACAACAACCCAGTGATTCCGGCCACGAAAGCCTTCGACAATACACTGACTAGTATCCGATCGGTGTTTCCTAAAGCCACAGTCCTCGATTTTTTAAATTGTTGTAATTATTATTTTATTTATTAGAAAACAAATATAAGTAAACTAAGGGCCTGTTTCTTTCCAGTAAAGAAAAATCCTAGATTATTTCTAGGATCTGTCCAAATTGGCTCCTTTGTGCCTCCACCCAGTGTATACAAGACAATAATATTTCTCTTTCAAGAGGATACTTTTAAAAGATAAATACCATATATAAATATATTGTATATATCACAGCTCGTATATTGATTTTTCATATTCATATGACAAATCAACATACAAGCTATAGTATAGACAATATACTCAATATACTCATATATGCATGAGATCTTATGTTGGCATTGAGATGAAAAACAAGAAGAGATCCAGGGTTTTTTTTTTAAATAGGGCTAATGCAGCCATTGGCTGATCCCAAGAACTGGAACTCTGTTAACAAAAGGTGGTGGGTTGGAAAGAATATGGGACTCGCTAGTGTTTGGGAAGCGGAAGGTAAAAGCAGCCCAGCCACACCAATATTGGGAAGGGGTTGGGGTCTTTGTTTTACAAATGGAATCCCAGCGTCCCCGAGCTCTGGGTTTCCAGACAGGATCCAGCGCCAGCTGCAGGCAGCTGTCGAGAGAGAGAGAGAGAGAGAGAGAGAGAGAGAGAGAGAGAGAGAGAGAGAGAGAGAGAGAGAGAGAGAGAGAGAGAGAGAGAGAGAGAGAGAGAGAGAGAGAGACAGAGAGAGAGAGAGAGAGAGAGACAGAGAGAGAGAGAGGGTGGGCTGGAGAGGGTTCCCTGTGCATTGATTCCTTTGTTTCTGGCTCGCTCCCGCCCTAAGGCTACCATTTTAAAGCGCGTCCTTGTAAACCAATAATCCCAAATCAATCTGTCCTAAGTATGAAGCCTTGATGGAGGAAAGGATAGGAAGAAGGAAGGAGTTCGTATGTGAACTCTGAACTCACTACGCATTGAACGGAATTCAAACAAGGAGCGAAGGAAAGTAGAAAAAGGGGACACACAGGAAAATATTGCTTATAAACAGAGCCATGAAAGTTGTTTTTTTTGGGGGGGGGGGGGGGAGAACGAGGAAGGGAGAATATTAAGGGAAATACAATGGGTGCATGGATGGAGTTAAAGCAGACAAGATTCTTCCTTTTTTTCTTTTTCTTTTTGCCAAATTATGGCTAGCAAAAGCGATGGGTGAAATGGACTTTTGCAAATTACCATGACCCCTTTCACACAGCTGAATACAATCCCACATTATCAGCTTTGAACTGGAATATATGGCAGTGTGGACTCAGATAACCCAGTTCAAACCAGATATTGTGAGATTTTCTGCCTTGATATTCTGAGACCCCCTTCCGCAAGGCTGTATAAAGTCCACATCGAACTGGATTATATGGCAGTGTGGACTCAGAAAACCCAGTTCAAACCAGATATTGTGGGATTTTCTGCCTTGATATCCTGGGGCCCCTTCGACATGGCCGTATAAAGTCCACATTGAATTGGATTATGTGGCAGTGTGGAATGAGAAAACCCAGTTCAAAGCAGATATTGTGGGATTTTCTGCCTTGATATTCTGTGGCACCTTCCACATGGCTGTATAAAGTTCACATTGAACTGGATTATATAGCAGTGTGGACTCAGAAAACCCACTTCAAAGCAGATATTGTGAGATTTTCCGCCTTGATATCCTAGATCCCCTTCCACAAGGCTATATATAAAGTCCACATCAAACTGGATTATATGGCAGTGTGGACTCAGAAAACCCAGTTCAAAGCAAATATTGTGTGGAATATTCTGCCTTGATATTCTGGGGCCCCTTCCACATAGCTGTATAAAGTCTACATTGAACTGGATTATACAGCAGTGTGGACTCAGAAAACTCAGTTCAACTCAGTGGGATTTTCTGCCTTGATATTCTGGATTATATGACTGTGTGGAAGGGCTCCACGTCAAATAGTCACATTTGGCTGTTTCCACTCGTGATGCCCCCTTTTTCAGTGTCCTACCTTTATCCCTGTTCCATAAACAAAAAACCATCAAGATTTGTAAAATAATAATAATAATAGAAACACAGAAGGAGAACAACAACATAGAACCCAAGTCTCTCTGGAACACACACACACTCACACATAATCATTCTTTGATGCGATTTTCTCCCCGTGTTAAGAGACTGGCAAAAAAGGCAAAGAAAAGTAAGACATATGGAATCAATTTCGTATCTTGACGTTGAAAACCAGCCAATTCCTGCTGGCCTCTTAAAACCAGGTTCCGTTTGGTCCCCCTCTATCTGGCAACTCTTGTCAGTCAATAGGATCCCTTTCTTGAAACATTTTAAAGTCTTTCTAAAGAGAAGCCGCCTTGGCCTCAGACCGTCGGGAACAGTTTCCTCCGTCTTTGGAGGAGGAGGAGGGCAGCGATGGGGGAAAAGAATGGTCCATCTTAAACAAAATATTCCTTCGTACCTTCGGCTTGGCTACAAAGACACTTTCCTCCTGGTGCCTCGGAAATTATTGTAATTCCCCTTTGAGTCAAGTTGGGATCCAAGCAAGAGGCACCCCACCCCTCCCTTCCAAATAGCAAGTCTTTCCTTGGGGTGGAAATCGAGCCCCCCAAAAGCCACGAGACGAGACCTTTTAAGCGGAGGGAAATCTACCAGAAAGGCTCCCAAACTCCTTCCTTGGCTTCCGAACTCCTTGCGCCTCCTTCTTTCTCCTCCGTGTCTCCAAACGAGGTCCTGGCGCTGAGAAATAACTTCAGGTAAGAGGGTTTAATTTAGGAATAGAAATAAAACCAAATTAAACCACAGGCACCACAACCCAGATCGCTCAGCGACTTCTTCTGAGCCAAGCATAGGAATTCCCGGGGCCGTGGAGGTTTTAATTAATAGCCATGACAAAGCTTGGAAAGACGTCTATTGGTCGGCCGGGCTCCTAGTTTGAAGCACAGCCTCCCCCCGGAAAACAAAACAAAACCCCACGCCACCCTAGTCCTGTGGCCTGACCAGAAGACCAGGGGCCATCTTAAATAAGGGATATTAACGACTATCCGATAATACTAGGATGGGGGCGTCCTCTGCCCAAAAAGACAGGGGAGGGAGGGAGGTTGTTCCTTCGGAAGTGGCTCTTTGGACCAAAGGATCCCTTCCCTCTCGGATCCTGCATTTGTTAAAGCTTTAACGCCTCTGGGTTGTTTGAAAGGGAAAACTACAAACGCTTCTTTTAAGGGAGAGAGAGAAGCCGGGTGTTAAAACAGAGGGATGTGATTTATGGCGCGGAGAAAGTTGTCTTTATTGAGGTGGCTGCTGTCACGGACCCGGGCTTTTCCCCTTCTTCTCCCTCTTCTTTTTCTCTCCCTCTTCCCCACCTCTCACCTCGATCACTTTGCTCCTTTTTTGTGTTTTGTGGTTAGCAAACATCTCACTAAAGTGTGGAGAAAGCGGGGGTGGTGGAACAAGAACAAGAAACATGACACGAAGGCGGTTGCAATCCCTGGTTGTAAACTGTCGATTTAGTCTCCCAGGGCCCGAGACAATGCCAGAGCCAGTTTCCTTCACCCCCGCGCCCCAATATCTGCTTGGGGGGCATTGTTTTGGCCCAATGGGGATGCGGTCTTCTACCCAGGAACCTGGACTGCAAGCCCACTCCTGAGATGAACCCACCTTTGGCCATCTTCAGAGAAAGCCTTCAAAAATAGATGGGAGCCAGTAAACAGTGGCCAATTTCAGTCCGGCAGATTTCTACTCCGAGTTTGAATACAACCGCATCCAAGGGCTCTTCCACACAGCCCTATATCCCAGAATATCAAGGCAGTGTGGACTCAGATAACCCAGTACAAAGCAGATACTGTGGGATTTTCCGCCTTCATATTCTAGAATATAGGACTGTGTGGAAGGATCCCAAGACACTTTTGCCCTTCTCCACTAAAAGTCAATGAGATTAAGGATCCTTCCCACGCAGCTGAATAAAATCTCACTTTATCAGCTTTGAATTGATAAATATATGGCAATGTGGACTCAGGGCCCTTCCACACAGCCCTATATCTCAGAATATCAAGGCAGGAAATCCCACATTATCTGAGTGTGGACTCAGGTAATCCATTTCAAAGTAGATATTGTGAGATTTTCTGCCTTGATATTCTGGGATATAGGACTGTGTGAAAGGGCCCCAAGACACCTTTGCCCTTCTCCAGTAAAAGTCAATGAGATTAAGGACCCTTCCCACACAGCTGAATAAAATCTCACTTTATCAGTTTCGAACTGGAATATATGGCAGTGTGGACTCAGGGCCCTTCTACACAACCCTATATCCCACAATATCAAGGCAGAAAAATCCCACATTATCTGCTCTGAACTGGAATATATGGCAGTGTGGACTCGGATAACCCAATTCAAAGCAGATATTGTGGCATTTTCTGCCTTGGGATTCTGGGATACAGGGCTGTGTGGAAGGGCCCTAAGTTATATGGCTGTGTGGAAGGGCCCTAACTCTCAAGTCCTTGTGTTTAGTGCCTAAACTTTACTTCCAGATAAATAAGGCGACCATAGGAAACAGTCCAAAGAAAGCTATTAAGACTGGAGGCCCCTCCACACAGCCCTATATTCCAGAATATCAAGGCAGAAAACCCCACAATATCAGCTTTGAACTGGGTTATCTGAGTCCACACTCAGATAAAGTGGGATTTCCTGCCTTGATATTCTGGGATATAGGGCTGAATGGAAGGGCCCTGAGTGTGGACTCAGATAACCCAGTTCAAAGCAGATATTGTGGGATTTTTCTGCCTTGATATTCTGGGTTGTATGGCTGTGTGGAAGGGCCCTAGGTTGTTTCTTTTTTGAATTCCAAGCTAAAGGGCGGGCAGAGGGCGCATTCCACAGAAGCCAATGAAAACTTTCTCCCTTAGCAAATTATTTGGAAGAAAGAAAGAAGATCTTAATGGAATAATGGAACAGTTTAAGCATCAACACCCCCGAAGAACCACAAGGAACATCAGGGACACAACCAAGCTGCAGCATAGCTTTGGAATGTCGGTTGTAACCTCTGATAACCCATCAGATAGGAAAAGTCTGCCTTCACAGAGAAGGAGGCAACTGGTCTAATATCATCAGCTTTGTTGCTCTTATTTCCAATCAAGTTGGCTTAGACTTCTGGTAACCCCAGGAGACCTTGTTGGCCTACAATCCTATGTGGATATTTATGTGTGTGTGTGTAAACACACACCATTGTAGGTCAACTAAGGGAGGCAACCCTTCCTTTTTCAAAGAGACCCTTTCTTTTTTTCTTCCCAAGTTCTTCTGGCATAAGATTCCTCCACTATTAGGAAGCAAGTGGCTCTTTCTTTTTTGCAGAATTGCTGTCTTCCTGTTGTGTTTCAAATGACATCCCCTCTCTCTCTCTCACACACACACACACACATTTACAGCAACAGGAATTGTCAAATAAATACACTCTGGTTATTGATAGGGCATAGACATTCTGTATTCAGGGTGGCACTGTTAATAATCCAATTCTTGGAACCACGAGCTTACTGTATAAGTGTTTGCTTTTTATACAATAACAAAAAAGCGAAAAACCACCCCAGTGTGTAGAATTTCCTGCGGCAATATAAGGCCATATTAGAAGACAGTAGGAGGAATTTTGCTCTCCCAGACTCTCCCTTCCCTCGAAATGGCTTTACATTAAATTTCCTCAGCTCCAGAATCATCTTCCTTACTAGCCTCCAGCTAAACTTGATTAAACAACAACCAAAAAAAGAGCGCTTGATGCGTTGACAGATGAAATCCAAGAGGAAACCACAAGGCCCTTAAGTGACCCTAATTTAATCGATTTTATCATAAATCATCAACTTGATGAAGAACCAAAGTTTTCATTGAAGGAAATTGATATTAATGGAGTAGCTGCTTCTTTAATTCAGATGTTGTTTTCCACCAGCTGGAAGACAAACATCTTGTGACATTATTTGGGCAATTTCCTTGGGAACTGTGTTTCAAAAAAGAAAGAAGAGCTTAATGGAACAGTTTAGACAGCCGCATCATCAAAGAACTACAAGAATCTGTGTATTCATGGACAGTAGGAGTCCAGTGCAGCTTTGATTATTTAGCTTGTGGTCAAATTTTAGTGTGGCACCAGATCTCTAACTCATCATAGCCCATCAGTTAAAAAAGGTCTTCATGTAGAGAGAAGAAGGCAGCTGATCTCATGTCATCCTGTTGTTATTTTACATCAAAGTTTCAAGTCAGTGTAGATTTCTGGTGACCCTATGAATAAGAGACCCACTCTCTCCAAAAAGGTCCTGTCAAAACCAGTTCTGTCTAGATTTCAGGGTTGTGACTTCATTTATTGAGTCAATCCATCTGCAATGTAGCCTTCCTTCTTCTCTACTGCCATCCAATGTATTATCTTTCAAACAAATCATTTTGTTTTATGATATGTCCAAAGCAAGATAGCCTCAGTTTAGTCATTTTGGCTTCTACTGAGAGTTCAGAGTTGGTTTATCCTGGGAACCATTTATGGTTTGGTTTTTCTTCATGGACCATGTGACCTGTGGGACTTTTCTCCATGGCATTTCAAATCCTTTCATTTTCATCCTGTCAAGCTTTCTTTACAGTCCACTTTTCACATCCATGCATAGACATAAAAATACTAAAGCACAGATAATCCCGACTTTGGTATTTGATACTGAATCTGTACAGTTGTCTTGACTAATACCTTCATAGATTCCCTTTCAAGTGTTATTCTTTTGATTTCTTGATTATTTTGATTTATGGCTGGGCCAGGGTACAGAAAATCTTTAACCATTTCCATATCTGCAACCACTTTTGTGCTATCTAAATCATCTGTGGTCATTATTACTTACTTAATATCTCCTAGAGCAGAGAGAAGGAGCCACCTTTTGCACTTTAAAGATCAATTTTCAGGCCTTGGTGGTGAAGCTTAATTAGTATACTGAAGGAGGAAATTTCAAAAACGCACTTTGAATGTGGAGTATTCTTGAATTTATAAATAAACCTGAGTTGAAGCAAGCCCCAAACTATGCCAGTTAAATCCAAAGCCCTAAGTTGTGCCTCACAATGCAGCTTTTGAAGGCCTGTTAAACATTGGCTATGCTGTAATTCTTCATTTTGCAATTAAAAATTAACTCTCCTCTTCAGTTCTGTACCCGTCTGTCATGGATGCCTAAGTCCCAATTAGCCTTTAGGTATGTTGATGAATTCCATAGATCAAAGGCCCTTGCAGAAATTTAGTACATCAGGAAAATAGGCTGAAGAAATGCTGGTTAATGTGAAACCTAATATATCTTGCTGGAAGTAGAAAACAAGCTAAAATGACATCCCAATCATGAACACATCTAGGGAGCAAGCTGCATTGATTTCAGTACCATTTACATTTGAGTAAGTGGTTAGAGTCACAAGAGAGAGCAGAAAGCAGGAAGAAACTAACATGGAATAATAATTAAAAGTTTAATTAAAACCCGGTAGGACTTAAAATTACCTCGAGGTGATCTCTTAGATTACAAGGTGTTGGTTGGTATAAATTTATCTGTGGATCTAGAAAACTGATTTCTCTAGATTAAGACATAGTTGTGTTAATCTGAAATATCAATACACAAATTGATTTTGTAGCCATTTAGGCCCCTTCCACACAACTGAATAAAATCCCACATTATCTGTTTTGAACTGGAATATATGACAGTGTGGACTCAGATAACCCAGTTCAAAGCAGACATTGTGGGATTTTCTGCCTCGATATTCTGGGTTATATGGCTGTGTGGAAGGGCCCTTAGAGATTAACATAGATTGGAGCTACAAGGTCCTTCTGGATGCTGCATTAAGTGACTGAAAGCCAATAATTTGTAAATGTAGGCAATGTATAGTATGTATACCTATGTGTTTTCTCCCTCCTTTCTCTCATTCCATGTTATCTTTTCCCTGACAATAAAGTTTGTAAATCAGTTTATTCCTATTCATGCAAGTTGTGCTGCTGCTTTTCTTTCTCAAATAAAAACACATATTGGTGAGTTTCAATAATGATGTATTAATGACTTGTTGTAGATATTTATCTGCTTCTCTGTCTATCAGCTGAACCCATTCAAAATATATTTGGTTGTTATTATGTTACAGAGGTATACAAAGCTCAATGGAGGAAAGTAACTCTATGAATTCAGCTCTTTGATGTTTTGATAGAACTCCTATTTCTATCTATCTGGGTTGCGTATTTATTTCTTTATTTATTTTCAAGAAGTTATTTCTGTTTAAAAGTATAGTAACAACATCCTATGGAGAAGCCTTTGTCCCCTGAAAATCTTCTCTTCTCTCATTCTCTAGGAGCAATTCTGTCCTGTGGTATCAAATCACCATCTTTCTTCCTTGGCAGAAGTAAGTAGTATTAACCCTGAAGTTGTGTATTGATAGACATTATGTTTTTATATCAGTCGGAATGAGGCTGGTATCTCATGCTTGGACCATTGCTTTCTGGCTAAGAGTTGGAGGCTGTAAATGATGTGTTTTGGTAGAAATATCACATGAGGCCTTTTTTTTCTTATCAAGCTTGACTCCACCCTTTCAACTTACACAGGCATTATTGATCTATTTGCTTCTTAATGTCTAAGATCAAAGCCAGTGTGGTATAGTGATTTGATTGCTGGGCTGCTGGACTCTGGAGCAGAGTTTCAGTCCCCAACTCAATCATAGAAACCCACTAGATGATCTTGGGCAAATCACACACCCTCAGCTTTTGAGAAAGATAAAAGCAACCCCTATCTTAGCAAAACTGGTCAAAAACACCCTGTGCTAGGTTCCTCTTAGGGTCTTCATAAGCTGCAAATGTTTTGAAGGCATACAACAGACACATCACCTTTCTCAGAGGTCAGGCATGTAGGATGGCTTCTGTTTTATATATTAGATACACATTAAGTTATATTATTAAAACACTAATTCAGTTAGAGCAGTTTAAATTTTCACACTAAAAGATTAAAATATTTGAAAGTGAACCATTTAAAAACTAGACTATGAGAGTTGGTCAGTCCCTAGGTAAAGGGAAAAGGAAAGAAATTGCTTCCTGATTGAAGGACAATAGAGAGAGGACTGAACCCTTGGAAGGAGTTCCACAATGTGGGATCAGCCATCAAGTAAACCCTCTTTCCTGTCTCTATCAAAAGCACCTCTGAAGGTAATGGGACAAAGAGAACCAATTCTTTTCCAGATTTGAAATACCAGATATCTGTCTGTCTGTCTGTTTGTTTGTTTATTTATTTATTTATTTATTTATTGCATCAGATAGGCTTATACAGATAGCATGGTCTTAAATCCTATAGGGCAGTGGTTCTCAACTTGTGGGTCCCCAAGTCTTTTGGCCTATAACTCTCAGAAATCCCAGCCAGTTTACCAGCTGTTAGGATTTTTGGGAGGTAAAGGCCAAACCATCTGGGGAGCCACAGGTTGAGAACCACTGATATTGGGTGTGATGGTCTCAACCAGCAATTTGAATCTTGTATTGGAAAAGTGTAGCCTGCAGAGTTGTTTGTAACAAGGGAGGCTATACCTATACTGCCATATAATCCAGATTATCAAAGGAGATAATCCACATTATCTGCTTTGAACTGTATTATATGAGTCTATTACTATATAATCCAGTTCAAAGCAGATAATATGGATTTTATATAGCAGTGTAGACCCAGCTGGAGTTACAGGTTTTTTGTAACTAACACACAGTATAAATTAAACTGCAACCTTTTGGACCATCCATAGTCTCTATATAACCTTCAATATTAATTCATAGATAGAGCATTACAGTAATCCAAATGGGGTGTAACTAAGTAACAGCAAGCATACTAGCTCTAATTGTCCAGATGCACTCCCAGGCATCACAAAAACCTGGGAATCCAAGTTCAGAGTTGAATTTAGAGTATATCCAAACATGCATCTTAAGAGAAATGTAACCCTATTCAGTGCAAATTAAATCTTTATAATACTTGATGTGCCTTTTGGATGATCAGGAGCACCTTTGCCTGGTCTGGGATAAACTTCAATTTGCTCACCTCTCTCCTTTCTACAGGCTCCCATTTAGAATTAAAATACTGTATATTCCTTCCATGGAGATGAAAAGTCAAAGAACACATTGGTAGCACCAAATATCAAATCTGTGGAGGACCTCTCACAATAGTTCCAAGTAAACATTGCATAAGTGAGGGACAAAATAGAGTTCGAATGGCCAGGGTATTGAATAGGAATCCCCAGTACCATATTCTGAAGCCAACCTCCATGTTAGTGTCTATGAGTTTATCAGAGGTTCTCAACTTGGCGTCCCCAGATGTTTTTGGCCTACAACTCCCAGAAATCCCAGCCAGTTTATCAGCTGCTAGGATTTCTGGGAGTTGAAGGCCAAAAACATCTGGGGACCAGGTTGAGAACCACTGGTTTAGATAGATCAGTTGGAAGACTACCATGATCGATGATAGTGAAAAGTGTTCTGAAAAAAGTAAGGAGGGCACACTTTTCCTACTCTGCTCTTAGATACCTCTTCCATCAAGGCAACTGTCATTGTCTTCAATCCATAATCAGGCCTTAAACAAGACTGAAGTAAATCCAGGTAATCTACCTCATCCAGGAACCTCTGGAGCTGTAAGGCCACTATATGCCCCTGGATCATGCTAAAAATGAAATATTGGAAGTAGTCCAGCAATTATCCAATACAATAGGATCCAGAGAGTTTGAAACAACTGCCCCTTTCAGACACAATATTGCAAAGAGGCATTCATTATTCCATTTGCTCAGTTGCCCAATTCCCCTCGGGGGACTTAACCTCTCCAAGGATCCTGCCTACATCCTCTGGTTTACATATTGTGCCCCTTGTCCTATTATTACTCCCAGCTAGATTAACCCATTGAATCAATGGAATCTGCTTACATGTCCAGACCCATCATTGAGTCAACTCTGAGATAACACTACAGGATTCTGGCATATTTAAAACTGGGATTTACAACCAACAGCAAATGTTTTTACTCTAAACTGATACTTTGTACCTAGGAAAAATGGGTAGGATCTCAGAGTTAGTTAGGTGATCATGAAGTTTTATTTCCCCTTTCCACCCAGTAAATATCTGTAGAATGTTTTTAAAAAAGAAGACAGGGAGGAAGGCTAATGGGACTCCCAGGAAGACATCATTTCCTTCCAATTAAAGCTCTTATTGTAGTCCTTGTTAAGCAAAGGAGGTGTGGGCGTTGAACTGGGCCTCCTCCAGTGGCAGCATACAGTAACCTTTTGGAAAGTAGGAAGTGCCTCTGTTTGCTGTCACAGCCAAGAGGAGATACCAACAGAGGAGGAGGCAGCGCTGGAGAAACAAGATAGCTCAAGAAAGAAAGAAAAAATCTTTATCCCACCATTTCAGCCTCATTCTTCTTGGCTGAGGGCATGCAAGGAATTGAGTTTGTGTTGCAAAACAAAAATAAATATCTTCCTACTCTTCTTACATGTAGGTATACACACACATGAGATCTTTTTATCCAAGTATAAGAATGTAACACTGAAGCACAGTGAATGCATTCCCAGGTGGTAAGATGATAATTCCTTAGTTACTTCTGTATGAAATGGACAGAAGGTTGGGTCACTTGGAAACATAAGGGTGATGTTTAGAAAACTGAGGACAAGAGGGTCCTCTGCCTCAAAGTCCTAGTATAGTAGAGAGAGGGTAAACCAATTCCACACTGTAGATGCACCCTGAGAGAAAGGATTTGGTAGCAAAACGTTGGTAGACTTTTAAAGAAATGAGAGTATCCAATGAAGTAGACATGCAGGCTGGATCTACACTGCCCTATATCCCAGGATCTGATCCCAGATTATCTGTTTTGAACTGGGTTATCTGAACCTACACTGCCAGATAATCTGGAATAAGAAAATAATCTGGGATGAGATCCTGGGATATTGATCCAGGCTTCCACACACCTGAATAAAATACCACATTAACTGCTTTGAACTGGAATATATGGCAGTGTGGGCTCAGATAGGCCAGTTCAAACCAGATATTGTGGGATTTGCTGCCTTGATATTCTGGGGACCCTTCCACACAGCTGTATAAAGTCCATATTGAACTGGATTATATGGCAGTGTGGACTCAGAAACCCAGTTCACAGTTGATATTGTAGGATTTTCTGCCTTGATATTCTGGGCTGTGTGGAAGGGCCCTAAATCTACAAAGTTTATATTACCAGTTTCTTTTCCTGTCTCAAAGGCTGGATCTACACTATCCTATATCTTAGGAACTCATCCCAGATTATCTTCTTTGAACTGGATTATGTGAGTCTCCACTGCCATATAATCTGGGATAATCAGATAATCTGGGATCAACTCCTGGGATATAGGGCAGTGTAGAAGGGGTCAAAGAGGGCATACATCACTCGGAACTCCCTGAACATCCAGTCAAATGTATGGGGGGAGATAAACTGATCTATTCTTCTGACCTCCTTGATTTCAAAATACCCGTAGGACTGAGAGGTAGTAGGAAATAAATTCTCTCCATTGAAAACTTGGGCCAGAGAAACCCAATAATAGAAATAGGGTTTTCCCAGAGATTTGGGGGTGGGGCATAAATCAAACTGGAATTGTGGGAAATCCTCCCTCCCCTCCCGCCTCCCTTTCGGCTGTGGGTGTTGTTGTTTATGTTTGATTCTTTGGAGGCAATTCAGAACTACTTCCGCTGATTGACCATTAACCCTGGTGAGTTATTAGACTTCTAAACCAAAGGTCGTGGGGGAGAAAGAGTTGCAATCCATCATGGAAAACAATCGGAGGGAGATGCTGGTTTTATTTCGAGCTGGATTTTGAACCAACTTGGTCGTGCTCCCATGCTGGAAAGAGGGGACTCGGAAGGGTGAGGTGGGATCTTTGACAGCACAGTTACCTGGATTTGTGAATGTCATGTGACCAGGGTTCATTACACAAGAAGGCAGACAGAGGGGTTAGAACTGAAGTTCTCCTAAGTAGTTTCTGACTAATGAGGATAAATTAGCTATAGGTATAGGTAAATATATAGGGTAGATACTCTGTGTGGTTGTGTGTGTTTATACACACACAGTGGCGAAATTTTGGACTACATCTCCTAGAATTTACAGCCAGCATGGACACTAATCCTGTAATTAATTCTGGTAACGTTAGTCTAGAAAAGTAACGTCTTTTCGTTACATTTTGATTCACACTCAAAAACTTAGTTTTTGCAAATGGCATTGGACTGGTGGTTTCAAATTAGATCTGAAACCCCTGCTTCAGGTGGGGGCGGGGGTGATTGATATAATAATCCTGTTACACAATAAAGACAAAGGCCCCTTCCACACAGCTGAATAAAACCCCACATTTTCTGCTTGGAACTGGAATATATGGCAGCA